CTACAATAGCGATGATGACTAATTTTTTTTCTTCGTTTATCAGGTAGATTATCAAAAAGTATTGGACACATATTTTTTCTTTTTTCACAGTATATAAACATTGCAGAGATATATTGATATCAAGTCGCATGACATCCTTAGATATGACATCAGGTTTTTGTACAATTTTCACTTAAAAGTGACATTACAAGCCCCTACTCTCAAACTTTGACGCGCTTTATCTTTGTCATTTTTTGGTTGATTGCCCAAAGAAAAAATACGAGTCCATTTTTTTTTGATCATCTAACTGATGGACTAAATAGAATTTCGTTCACTTTACCCCGTTGTCACCCCTATTCTGTATTATACTTGTATAAAGAAATAAATTTTCACTTTAATTAACATCTGGGACAAAGAAGGTATGTTCTGCTTCTATGTTTAACTAAAAACAAAGGGGACATGCCGGGTAGACCTTTTCAGAATAAGAACATACTTTAATTGGGAACCAAATCATAACACTATTCAGAAAGAAGTTAGGATGCTGCAATTTTGTGCATAAAATGGCTTAACATAGAAAAAAAATGCTATTTTATAAAGATTACCCTACACATTACCTTTTCTCATATAATTACTCAGTTAGAAGTTCATGGACCAGGTAAAATATATAATTATATCATCCTCAAAAACAATAATTCCTAATAGACCAGGGTCGATAATTTTTGAGACCAAAAAAAATTATAGTAGGATGAAACCCATTAGAAAAGGTAGAGAATATAACAAAAATGAAAGGAAAAATAAATTACGGGCGATCTGAGGTCGGGAAGGGGGAGGGGGTGAGCTTTTAAGGGTAAAAAATGGTTAACCTCGATTTCCGGTAAAACTGCAAGTCCTATGAAAAAAAGTTAAATGGCAAAGTTGTAGGTAATAAAAACATCTACAAATTTTGTATCGACACTTTTTTTACATAACCTCAAAATTTATGTGAAAAATGCGAATAACCGAGTTTTTGGTTTTTAATTTTGGTTAAAGTTTTTGGTTTTGGTTAATTTTGAACTATTTATTAAAATTTACACTTTAATTACTCGAAAAACGTAAGATTTCATGTTATATTGATAAACAGAAAAATTACAAATCCATAAAACATGCAAAAATAGTTGTTGTAAGTAGGTATTAAAAATAGGATTTTCAGGTTCTAGTTTTTTTCATTATTAATTTGCATTTTCTGAGAACATTTATCATAGTAGTGTATATTTTTTTTATACCTTCAGAAAGTAGAGATTTCAACAAACAAAAAAACACCCCAACTTTTTTAAAAAAGCAGATATTTTGACGTGAGAATTTTCGATTGAAAATTAGGGTGCTTTTTGGATATTAAGTCAAAATAAGGTCAAAAAATGAATATTTTAAATCAAAAAAAATACTGTATGTTTGGGACATACAAAGGTAAGTTTTCACCAGATTTCGTGAAAAAATATTTTTTTTTGCAAAAAATAAAAATCAAAAACCAAATACTCGGTTATTCGCATTTTTCACATAAATTTTGAGGTTATGTGAAAAAAGTGTCGATACAAAAGTTTTAGATCTTTTTATTACTTACAACTTTGGCATTTAACTTTTTTTCATAGGACTTGCAGTTTTACCGGAAATCGAGATTAACCATTTTTTACCCTTAAAAACTCACCCCCTCCCCCTTCTCGACCTCGGATCGCCCGTAATTTATTTTTCCTTTCATTTTTAGGGTTCCGTACCTCAAAAGGAAAAAACGGAAACCTTATAGGATCACTTTGTTGTCCGTCTGTCCGTCCGTCCGTCTGTCAAGAACGTTTTTCTCAGGAACGCGTGGAGGTATCAAACTGTAATTCATATCTAATACTCAGGTCTTCTGTCCCTTGGAGCTGTGAAAAAATCAAACTTCTAAACCAAAGCAATCAAAAGATACAGACGTTTAAGCCCCAAATTTCCGCAAATTTTCGAAACTCGCACGGGAATCAAAACCTACAGAGTACTTCCCGTGAACTTAGAATCTTGAAATTTGGTACAAAGTAACGTCTTATAGTACAGATAAAGGAATAATTGCGAAAACCGTAAATTTTTAGTAACATCATATAATAAAAAATATTTTTGAAAATTAAGGTGTGAACGGAACCCTCGATGCGCGATTTTGACTCGCACTTGGCCGGTTTTTTGTTATATTCTCTACCTTTTCTAATGGGTTTCATCCTACTATTTTTTATTCACTTTTCACCATTTTTAAAATTATCGACCCTGGTCTATAAATACTACTTGGCACCAGTACTTTGTTAAATGTACATAGTATAAAACAACAACTGTGCCCTAGTCTGCATTAATGTGGTGAGCAATTATGCTCGACACACACTTGGCCATTTTTCTATTGTTAAGTACACTGGAGATTCCACAAGGTAGCCTTTTTCAAAAAGCCTACAAATTTATAGTAACCCTAAAGTGATGGAGTCAGTAAAAAACTCTAAGTTGGCATTCCACTTTAAAGATTCTCAATTTCATTTAACTGTCTATAAAATATATATATTTTCTCATACACATAATTGTATAATAATCTTGAACATAAAAAGTATATTCTGAAATCAGTAGACTTGTCTGCATTATTATTTTCATGGATGTTTTTAACTTATCATCATTACTTTTTTATATGAATTACATTTGTAATGAAAGTTTGTAAATAATTTGATGATTTTTGTTTAAGATTTCTTATAACTATTTTAAGAAAACATATTTATCATTAGGCAGTTTATCTTAAAAACATATTTATGGATTTACTAACTTCAGCACACAGACTTATCTGCATTATAGTTAGTTTGTGAGATGTCTCAATCTAGATAATTAATTAATATGTGTGCCTAATTTTATTCATATCCATTAAGCAGTTTTTGTATGCTTGAGTAACAAACTTTCACATTTATAATATAAAAGGGATCAAATAACTAATATGGCTCATCAGATAAAAGATTCAAATGATAGTTTTATTGTATAAGTGTTCATGCAGTGAATTACAAACTTATAGTCTATTCACATTGGCGTGAGACAAAATGTAAACAAACCATAAAAAAAATATTTTTTAAGGTCACATTCAACAAAAGTAAAGATTAAATACTATTTACTGGTAAAGATAAAAGCTGGTACATACATATGAATAAGAAAATAAAATATTTCACACATGTTTAATGTACATGCTCATCATAAATTCGTATATTTTTATGTTGCTGATAAAAGTATTTTAACAACTTAAGTAGACATGGAAAAAGACCTAAAAACACAATCATTCCCAAACTTATGAGGTATTATAATAAGACAATATTAAAGAGTAGACACGATATAAGTTTTTTACGTGGAAGTGTTGTGTTTTATAATCGGTTAGTTTACGTTAGCCATCTTTACTCTCCCGATCAACCTGTTGACGAGAGTGTGCATATTCTATCATATTTGTTGAAATCTTGTTATTTCCTTGTTTTATTTGTTGAATTTGTGGTACTTAATTCCATTATATGTAATCGAATTTTGGGGTAATTTGTAGGGGAGGGGGAGGGGGGGCTCTCCCCGACAACCCCGCCATAAAAGATTTTTGGCGGAAATGCAGTTTTTTTTTACCTAACCTAAAAATTCATTAAGTCTGTTAAATGTAGTGGAATTTCAGGGGGATAGGTATAAGGGAAGACTCCTCAGAGGGAAGGGTAACCCCCCCCCCCTCCCGGCGTTTTTTTTACAGAAATGATATTTATAAAAAATTAGAGGGGTTTTAAAGGTAAAACTGTACTTCCAGGGCCTAGATTTTTTTGTAGAAAGAGTCTCTATTAACGAATTTTTCTTTCTGGCGCTTCGCCGGCCGCCCCCGCGGCACGCTCGCTTCGCTCGCTCGGCTCGCGCGTTAAGGTCACAACACTAACCTAACCTAACCTAGTGTGAAGTATCACCATACAAGCGGCTCATTAGAGTCCAAAACTCGCACTACACTCGACTCTTCAGGCGAAGGGACAGCAGAACTCGAGGCCGAAGGCTTTGAGGATGCCATGGTAGTCAGACGATGTTAATATCAACAGGAGTACGAAAAAGCTCTCAATTGTGACGAACACAAACACTGACTGACAGATCTCATTAATGGCGGTAAATTGTCACATTTTGACAATAGCACCAACTTAATAAACTTATATTTACCATAGACAACGAGAAACATGTTATTTTTGCATAAAAAAATGGCAGCACTGATCAAAATTTCTGTCAAAATTGACTCATAACCTACAAAAACATTAATTTTCAATAATTTTTTTCTCGAGTTCTATTCGTTTCCGCCTTAAAAGATTTCGTGTACGTGTTTATAATAGTTAATACTTTGCGTGACAAAAATTTCAGCTTGCAACTCAATTACATATAATGGAAAGCTGAGCCGAATTTGTTTAAAGATGTTAATAAATTAAAGGTACCATAAATTATATGTAATCATTGACTAGTGGGTACTTTCTGGCATTATAAAAGTTTAGGCCTGTATATTACAGAATGACAACTAAGTGTTGATCTTTACTTGAGTACAGTAAGAACTATGCTCAAGACTAGATCAGTCACTGAGAATCTTTCTGTAATACAGGTCTTAAAAACTCAGATTCTTTGTTTACATTTTGTCTCACACCAAAGTGAATAGACTATAGACCTAGTTAGCATATCAGTAGGTACCTCTATATGAAGCTTTATAAAAAAACTACTGTCTTTCTATAGTATCAAATAGAAAAAGAAACAAAATATAACAATGCCATGCTAGACAAATTATGTATAAAAAAGCAGAACTTTCACCTTGGTGCAAACCAGTATTGTATGGATGGGAAGGTACCGTACAAATACCGAATTGATTAGAAAAATAAAAATAATATTATGATGAACACAAGAGTGTGTATCCATTCAGGATGTGTACAATATAATGAACAAAGAAATGATATGGATACCGGCTGGATAAAATAGGTCATTCGAAATTAAACTGGTTACTATCTATTTCTTACCTTAGTGGCAGGTTTGTTACAGGCTCTCACGTCGACCAGAGCACTACTTTTTCCTGGGCTTTTCTCCACGATATTTATTATTTCCAAACAGTTACCTTCTCTTATCGTTTCATCTTTTACAGGAGGCATATCACTTAATTAAATCTTATTTATATTTATCTAGCTCGTTTATGTGTTAATCGTAAAGTAAAGAATTTGTTATGATTTTAAAACAATTCCTGCTCATACATTCAACCGATCCATCAAGCAAAAATCGAAGTAAAATTTAAGTTTAAGAGGTGGGTTACACGATCAGTTGGCGTCAGTCAGTCCATCAGTCTCGTAAGACTGACTCCAGTCTGATCGTGTAATGTGTTGACTGATGGAGTGATAGATCGGACTGACAGAATTTTAAATATTTTGATATTTTACATCAATCCGGAATGGACTGATGGAAAACTGATCGTGTGTGACACGTTGTCGTCAGTCTCCCGTCAATCACCGCTCGGACAGCGATGGCTGAACATGGCGAAAATGCGTACACGCCGCGCCGCCTGCGCCTTTGGTCTCCTCGCCTCAAAGTCCCGGGACGTCTCGCGACTTCGAGACTTTTAATAATAGCATTTGTATTGAGTTAATTTCTGGTAAAACGTTTTAATGAAAAGGCATTTTTTAGTTAAAATTAATATTTATTAAAAATAAAATAAAATCCTGATATTTTTTTACGTTAAATTCAGTCTAAATAATCGGTATGTTTATTTATAACAATCACATATCTACTTATGTGCAATTAAATCCTATAAATAGATGATAGATAGATAGATAATGCGTTTATTTTCTTCTTCAACATGCATATAGGTACATTTCAGAGTAATACAACTACTACACTATAGTTATAATCTTAGTAACAATCATACTTATTGTAAATAATTATTATATAATATTTAGTATTTGGTCCTAATGATAACATTCGTAATTCTCATAATCACAAATTCGTTTCGTAATAAAATAATCAAAATAAAAAACAGACTTATAAATCATTCTTATACATAAATTAACACACGCATTTATTATGTTGTGTGTAGTAGTTTTTTAGATTGATACATGACTTTTCGCGTAATACGATCACATGCGGCTAAGTTCTTGAGAAGACTTTCATCAGTCTGGACTGACCGTTAATCTGTCTATCAGTCCATCAGTCTGCTATCAGTCTGGACTGATAGACTGAACTGATGCCAAACTGATCGTGTAACCCACCTCTAATAATTTGAAGTAAAATATAGAATAGTGATGGGATGCGATAACAACAATAACGTTATACTTAGTATAAGTAATAAAGACCAGTTACCTAAAAGTTATTTAATGTAATCATTGGACCTAATAAACTATGTTAAAATTGTAATGATTATATTTATAGCCTCAGTGTGTAATTTGTATTTAGAACATACCGAGCTCAGAATTTACAGCTGATGCACATCAATACTAGATAAAGAAAATAGTAAATCAGATGCAATAACCAATAAAAAATGCTTTTAATTAAAATAAAGCGACATACTGGTTGTTTGGTTTGATTCACCATCTCGCGTCACTAGGAGACAAAATATAAAAATGCCGGCTCTTCACTTGGCTATTTGTATTAGCTTTTTCTCATACTATAAGGAAGTAGGTTATCCTCTCTATACTCTACGGGGCCTTTAGTGTATAATAAGGTCAACCTGCTATCAAAATTAAATAGCAAATACGAATAGCCATGTGAAGAGTTTGCATAACACGGGTAAAGGAGACGGTTGAAATTTGTATGGAATGTGGTAGTCAGTCTCCGGCAGACTCCAAATTTTTATAAGATGTAGTGCACTTAATTGTAAATCGTTTTTCAAAAACTAGAACATATTTTATCCCCGTGTTTCGTGGTAGTGTAATTTGAATAATTTGTATGGTTTATATTATATATAGGAACAATGCATCAATAATACAAAAAAACATTATGTTGATGAAATTATTTTTAATGATTAATATTTTTGACGTGACAACGTCTTAAATTAGGTTGCGGCTGGGAGTCACTTATGAAAAAGTGTAACGCTCGGTAACGTTACGATGAGTCTCTCGTGTTAAGTTTAAGTTTACATGTACAATGTTTTAGTAAACAAAATATATTTCTATAGTTAAAATTTGTGCAATTCTTATTTTCATTCAATTCCTTGTTCCTATTGTGCAATTTAATTATATTCATATCAATAAATATTCTACCGAGAAAAAGACGTTGTCACGTAAAATCTTCGCCCGTAAAACCGACTTTACAGGCAACCATTTTTTTTATTATACACGTATAATGAGTTTTGCATATCTAGGTTAAACTTTTAAAGTAAATATTATCACTAAAAATTAAAAACATAGATAATGACTAATAATTGGCAGCAGTTTTGTTTATTAAGCAGTTTTGTTTATTATAAGACTTTATATATGTTTGCTCTTAGGAACTTAAAGTTTCAACACACCCGTATTTGATCCCCTAATATAGTAGGATACTATATTTTATAGGAGGGTTGGCAACCCTACCTGCAGTCCGAGCGGCGCTGGTGAATTCAGAATCTGAATGACCTAAACATTCCGGTAAAGTGTCTGACTCCGAAACCTGCGCAGGCAACCAGTTGCCTGCTGCCACTGTGGCCACCCTGCTTTAACTACACTGTTTATTTCTCGCGCTTGTTTTCTGAGTCTGAATCTGAATCTGAGTGCACTGTGGCCGTACCCTTACGAAATTTATAATGCGATGAATTCTTATCTTTTATTGTCTTTGTCTAACTAAGGTAGGTAGTTAAGGTAGGTAATATATTGAATCTTAATATTACTTTGGCTGAACGTAATACATGATTAAACTTTTATTTCATTTTTTATATTTTATTTAGTACTTAGTGAAAATATTCTGCTTCTGAGTAAAGTTACATTTTATCACAATCACAACACTACTCTAAAAGCATTTTTTATAAGTTTCTGCGATTAGGAAGGCAAAGGAGAAATTACGTTTAATTCAAACAGTCTCGCTTTTAGTACTTGCGTTATTTGTATTTGTAATTTTCTCCTACTGGAACACAGACGAAACTCAGTCTATACAGCCCATTACAGCCTCGCCGTCAGTTATTTTCGTTGTTAAGAATGCTTAATTATGATAAAACGCATTCTAATATTTCTCGGAGTATTTGTTTCGGAATGTATTGATTTAAATCTACTTCTAGGCAAGACCTCATCTTTTTTATTTAATACGTGGCATGAGAACTCAATCTAACCAAACCAATGTGGCGTTGACTGATTTACTTTTCTACGTGGCGTAATGCGTGGCAGTCATTGTATGCTTTCCAATTACAGAGCATAATGCGACTCAGTGCCGCACAATGCCCAATTATGCTGATGCTTAATTGGAACGTGAATTAGTTTTCAAATGCACCAGCAGAGTGCGCTAAGCTCAGTGTTGAAAAAAAGTCAATGTTTGTACCTTCATCCATACTTATATTTATTTTTTAACAGTTTGAATGAACTTTGATTATTTAAAAAAAAACCATTTAATGAAACGAAAGCTTTAATAATTTTTCAACAATAAATAATATTACTAACGATAACATATAAATAAAACATTTCGATCAATGCCAACTTAAAGAAAAAACACTTGTTAATTTTCTTTCTCTAAGTTGGTACCATTGCACGCATCACACGAAAGCATCACTTTTGAGAGTGCTCAATTGTGCGAAGCGTTGCTGTAGTTGGAACACTCAACGTTAAGCATTATGCCGCATAATGCGCAATAATGCTGTAATTGGAAAGCAACCATTGACATTGCGTGGAGATGGCAGCCATTCGCACAGATTAGTGATGATAGGAACCGTACAAGTCTGCGTTCAGAACATGCACTCGGGCGCTGTCAACGTAAGTTTTGACATAAGTCCTTATGACAATACATAACTTCGGGTACATGGTTTATTTACATTATATATTTAAACAAATTTATATATAAATTACGACGACTAATTATAATTTTCTTTATATTAATATATATTATATACGTACTGTATGGTGATGTGGGTTTTTTCTTATTGTTCTGTTTTTAGTGTTTACGTTTTTGAATGTTTTACAATCCATTAAAGCCACCTTGCACAGGTCCTGCCAGAATAACAGCGCCGACATGGTGAGAGAAGTTTTTTTTCTTTTCCCACTATGTTAGCTTATGCTGAGGCAGGGTCCTGGTTGGCCGTCTATAGATTAAGTTATATTTTTGTCATATACTATGTTTATGATGGCCAATAAATAATTTTTCATTTCATTACTTTTTCAATAAATAAAATAACAGTCCATATAAAATAATAAATTACATATTTGTCAATCTGAAGTGTACAGTACTTTGGATTTTTAGACCAAACTATCAAATAGCAATTTTACTATATTGATACGAGTATTGATAGTAGTAACTCAGTCGAGGCGTAAGTATTTTTCTGTCTTAAATCTGTATTTTTTTTTTATTAAATATTAGACTTAAAATTTATGTAACACTTCCTAATTCATTCACAACATTTTTTTTACATATGAAATAAAATATTTACAATCACAAAACTAGAAAGAAACTCAATTATGTAGATGAAATTAAAATACTGTAGGCGGGCAGCCCTACTGCGTGTTTACGCCCCGCTCGGCCGTAGGCAGTTATTTCAAGGACAGGGCTGAGTCACAATACTGTATAGATAATATTACCGTGGTGGTGCTGCCTTCTGTTGGTGAGTAATGTTCCACCAAGGTTCCACGGGGTAGAGGATGAGGTCACAGGCAAAAGTACGAATTTTGACAGCTTCGTGATCTTATCCCATTGTCAAAGTTTCTATTAAAAGTAAGCAGCGCCTCTACCGGACGAAAGCACAAGCTCCTTCCATACAAAATTTAACGATGACGATACGAAACGGACCTGTCAAAGTTCTTCACGTTTTCAAACTCCATAGTGATTTGACAATTGAGCGCGTTATACACAGAACACAGAAAGAGGTTGTAGGGACACAATGGTTGCTTTCCAATTACAGTATTATTGCGCATTATGCGGCATAATGCTTAACGTTGAGTGTTCCAACTACAGCAACGCTTCGCACAATTGAGCACTCTCAAAAGTGATGCTTTTGTGTGATGCGTGCAATGGTACCAACTTAGAGACAGAAAATTAACAAGTGTTTTTTCTTTAAGTTGGCATTCATCGAAATGTTTTATTTATATGTTATCGTTAGTAATATTATTTATTGTTGAAAAATTATTAAAGCTTTCGTTTCAATAAATAGTTTTTTTTAAATAATCAAAGTTCATTCAAACTGTTAAAAAATAAATATAAGTATGGATGAAGGTACAAACATTGACTTTTTTTTTCAACACTGAACTTAGCGCACTCTGCTGGTGCATTTGAAAACTAATTCACGTTCCAATTAAGCATCAGCATAATTGGGCATTGTGCGGCACTGAGTCGCATTATGCTCTGTAATTGGAAAGCATACAATATTGTCAACGCAGCATTTACTGCACGGGTGGCTCGACGAGGAGCGGTAGAGCCAGTCGCCCTCCGTAGCCCCCTTTGCTCGCACGTATCAATTTGTGTATCTAAGATAAGTCATATAAAGGTTGTGTAATAACCATTGTAAGTGGGAAATAAAAGTACAGTGTTCTTGCATAATTATATTGACTTTATTATTTCGTCTAGACCAACTCCTAAAAGGTTATTACAGTGGTCATATACCGTTTGTACGAGAACCGATCTCGCCGGCGTTTAATAGATTAGAAGGGTGATCTGATCATTGACCATTTATACAGAAACCGATGTCGCCGGACCGCCCCTCCCTACACTTCAACCTAATAGATAATAGTCAATCAAACGACGCGACGTCAAACAATCGAACCAATCGGCACTCTCACCCGGGAACAAGGACGCAATCAGAACCAAGTTTTGGTCAAGTTAGAGCATTTGTTCCCACATAAATTCCGCTGTCAAGCTTAGCTGTGTACACTAGTGCTCTCGAAATTTTTACCAATCTTCGTCAAAATAGTGTGTATTGTGCTGCAAAATTGTAGTAAAAGTGTAGCCCAAGTTACAATCTTTCAGTAGTGCTGTTATCTCTAAAAGTTAGTAAAGAAAAAGTAAAAATATTATGCAAACAGTTTGTGATATTTGTTCTATAATAAATAATTAATAATCAATCTACCCGCGCAAGCCGCAGCGGCGAATCTTTGCGTAACTTGCTAGTCCGCAAGTGCTACGTTCAAACGATCAAGTCAACTTGCCCGTCACGCTTTACTAGTTTTGACGACTATTTTTCTCGGTTAAATTAAGATAGATTGAGATGGCTTCAGGAAAATTACTGTATTGTGCGGGATGTCACAGCATAGTAGATGGAGCAAAATTTATGACGCTTAAAATGTAAGCGCAGATGATGATGTTAATGTGCAGATATTTGACATACTATGTGCAAATTACTCTGAAAATATATGGTCTCTAGGTTTGTGTGGAATGTCGCAGCAAAATTCCGAGAGGTGATAATTCGCATACTCCTGTTCGTCAACAGCACCAAATACAAGACATGAGTATAGCTAGTGACAATCCTGACAAATATTTCAATGAGTAGTCCAGATTATATCACTTTGCGGTCGGGGACGCGTTGCGCTCAATCAGCGAGTAAGGTTGAAAAGAATACTTTGCCAGAAATGGCACAGCAGGCGGTGGTTCGTCAAGTTATAGATGAAATTAGCAAATTGTTTACTGTTCAATTCCTATCTTTCAAAGCCGAATTATTTGATAAAATAAATGGTCTTACAGGGAGAATTGATGGTCTAGAGAGTAAAATAATGGACATTCAAAGAACAAATAAGGTTGATGCTAACACCGGAAAGAGCGAATTAAAACCTATCGAAAGAAAAAAAGATATTGGAAAAACAATAAATATTTCAAGGAACGCCCCGATATCCCAGCAGATGAATGTAACTTCTGCAACTTGCGAATTGAATGAACTTCCGACAAATGCAAGCGTGACACCAATGGCAAACAACATGAGCGAAAAGGAAGCTAGTAAGGATGAATGGACTGTAGTGAAGCGTAAACATTCTTCGATGCCAGCGAGTGCGTCTTTGCTTGGAGTGCTTAGTGGTACCGCCGCTCCTGGAACTACTTCGTTGACTGCTGCTGAGAGAAAAAAATACATTCACCTGTATTACGTAAAAGAAGGTACGACCGTCGAACAAGTGAGTACTCATCTTAAATCGATATGTGGTGCCGATGTCGTCTGTACGGTCGAGGCACTTAAGCCACGGGTAAATTATGCATCATTTAAGCTTGCAGTACCGACTAAGCTAGCTGATCTTGTAATGAACCCACAATATTGGGCTGAAGACATATGTGTAAAACCATGGCGGAATAACTTTCGTTCTAGACAAGAAACCAGGCAAAACTTGCAGTAAATTTAAGACACTTCAATGTTATTATCAAAACGTACGTGGCCTACGCTCAAAAACAGTTATATTTAGCAAGAACGTTGTACAAGCTGCATATGATATTATTGGCTTGACAGAGACATTTTTGAGAACTTCTGTGTCTGACGGTGAGCTTTTCCCCACGGGTTATGTGGTAGTTCGCAAGGATAGAATCGGAGATGTTGGATGGGGAGGAGTGTTGCTAGCCGTCCGTGATTGCTATTCTATTCGGACTATCTCAAATGTGGATGGGTTAACACAAGATAAAGAACTATTATTTGCTGTGATTAGGTTAAATAATATTAAGTTGTTATGTTGTGTTGTATACATTCCGCCTAGTTGTAGTGATGAAAATTATCTGAGTACACTAGCTTGTATTGAAAATGTAATATGTTCACATTCTAACCTTGATGTTCTAGTTATGGGTGATTTTAATCTGAATTCATGTTCAAATTATGTTAAACTACAATTTGATTCTTTTCGTGAATTTTGTAAGTTAGAACAATTTAATGATGTTCCAAATGTGTACGGTACTAAATTAGATCTAATACTGAGTGATCTTGCTTCTGATCAGGTTGACTGTAAGCCACGACCCATTGGTACCGATTGATAAATATCATCCTGCACTGGTATTTTTTACAAAACTGCGTCGTTGTACTGGACCATTAATATCAACTTATAATTGCTCTGCAAAGCAACGGCGAAGCGATTGTCCTAATTGGAATTGGCGCAAAGCGGATTTCGCAGCATTATATGCAGCTTTGGCTAAAATAAACTGGAGTGACTTAACACTGAAAGATAATATTGATAAAATGGTCGAGTGTTTCTATGTGAAATTGTACGAGTGTTGTCATCGCTTTGTTCCTCTACTTGGTATAATTCTGAAATAATACGGAATCTTAAGTTTAAATACTTAAAGAAATACAAGTCAGAGGGAAAGGAATTCAATCGGGAACTTTATAAATTTTATAGATGGCATACTAAGAAGTTAATTGATAACGCGTATCAGCAGCATATAACTCGAGTACAAAAAAACATATATGAGGAACCAGCCCAATTCTGGGGATACGTTAAGGACAAGAAAAAAGATAGGCGATCCATGAACGATCTCACTTACCAAGGAGTAGAGGTAACGGGACAGGCTGCTGCCGAGGCTTTTTCTCAATACTTAATTTTGTTTTCCGAAGTGATTCACCACGACTCAATCCGATAGAAGCTGCATGTGCTGCGCACTCTCAGATGGATGCAAGAAGCATTGCTATCAATTGCATAATCAAAACCGATATAAAGACTGCAATAAAGAAACTTAAGGCCCAGTCAGCTGGTGGGCCTGATGGCGTGCCAGTGTTTTTGGTGTAGGATTGTGAATCGGTTTTCTGCACTCCGATACTATACATCTTCAATAAGTGTCTGAATGTTTCAAAATACCCTACTTGTTGGAAGCTATCACGTCTAACGCCAGTGCCAAAAGGTAAAGAGTCCAACGGTGATGTTTCACAATACAGACCGATTGCGGTCCTTTCAGTATTTTCAAAAATATTTGAAACTATTCTAATAGTCATATTACCAGACAAGTTGAAAGTCAATTGAGTTTTAGTCAGCATGGTTTTCGCAGGGCTCGTTCAACCACGACTAATCTTGTTGAGTTGGTGGATTACATCTCTGCAGAAATGGATGCGGGACGGCAGGTAGATGCTGCTTACTTCAATTTTAAAAAAGCTTTCGACTTAGTAGACAATGATATATTATTAAGAAAATTAGCATTGATAGGTTTCACGCCAGGGCTGCTAAGGGTTTTCGCCGATTACCTAAACAACAGACGCCAGTTTGTAAAAGTGCGTGGTTTTGATTCTGCGGAATACTTTACAAGATCCGGAGTCAGTCAAGGAAGCACATTAGGTCCAACATTTTTTCAAATAATGATAAATGATTTGCCGTTGTCTATTGGGACTGCTCGATGTCTTCTTTTTGCGGATGATTTGAAGTTGCTTCTGGGCATAAAGGATGTCATGGGTGCACAAGCTTTACAAACTGATATAGATGCGGTGTCAAAGTGGAGTTTAGCAAATCACCTGCCCTTTAATAGCGACAAATGTAAAATCATTACGTACTATCGCAAACGTTCCCCATTAAAAATAGATTATAAGATAGGCGACACCTCTGGCAACAGAGTTAGTGAAATTAAGGACTTGGGATTAATTTTAGACGATAAATTAGACTTATACAAACACGTAATAGAAACCTGCAAACAAGCAAGTAAGATGTTGGGTTTTATAATCCGGACTGCCTCCGAATTTAATAATACGGCCGTGGCTGAGGTCTTATATGGCGCATATGTCCGTAGTAAACTGGAATACGCTGCTATCATATGGGACCCTCGTGAGACTAAATATGCACTTATGGTGGAGCGCGTACAGCGTAAGTTTGCACGTTGGCTTTACAAACGCCGTTATGGGTATTACCCATATCTATATCCCTCACTTTTCGTCACTGGTATGGTGGATCTTGTGACACTAGGTAATAGGCGTAAAATGCTTATGTTTGTGTACTTCGTCTCCGTATTGCATCATAGGGTAGATAGTAGTTTGGTGTCCAGGGTGAACCTATTAATACCTTCACGTATCCCTTGGTCAGGCGATGGTCGCCCCGCGCCGCCGACCGTGCCTCTTCCACGTGCCCGACACACGGACCTTACACGCTGCGCATGCACCCACCCCGCGCGTACTTCGCTTGATGGACAGCGTGCTCGCTCAGTGCGACCAAATAGATGTATATGCCGACCATTTCGAACATATTATTAAAGAAGGTTGTAAATGCCTAGTTAGTAAATATTGACATTGGACTAAATTCAATTAATTTTATTGTATTTATTTTTGATTTTATTTTTATGTTTTTTATGTATTTTATAATTTGTTTTTGATTTATAATATTTATGAATGTGACCTGCTCAACAGGAGCAGCATAGCACTAGTGGTCCTGCCTTTGCGCGAGTACTTTTTATCACACAACTTGCAATTAACATTTTCAGCATCACTTAATGTAAAATAAGTCCAAACTTCGCTGATGTGTGCTTTACTCATGTTTTTATGCCACTTTGTCCCTTAAATATCAGTTAAATTTGATAAATAACATAAAACTACCCTCAAAACAAAAATTTTAGAATGAACTTTCTGTGACTAAATTCATTCAATTAACCAATATCGGCTCGGCTAAGTTCAATTTAAACATGGCCGACACGAAACGTTAAACATGTCAAACATTTTACGCGCGCTTTTTTTGAAATTTTAAATTATTGTCATTCGCATTCGCATTCGCGAATGTTGAAGATAAATATTCGCAATCGCATTCGCATTCGCGAATGTGAAAAATCCAACATTCATTACATCACTATGCTGATGCGTTAGTTTCAAATTTTTTTTTTTTTATTAATTTAATTTTTTAGTTTATTGTAATGTATAATTTATATTTTATTTATAATTTTAATTAATGTGACCTGCTGATGCGTTGGAACTAGTTCTGTAAATCAGCATGTTTATTGAATAAATAAATAAATAAAATAAAATAAATAAATAAACGTGGCGCGCCTGCTCCGCCCACAAGGCCTTTCTAACCACTTTCTGTGTTCTGTGGCGTTATACAGGAATACAATATATACAATACTTATACTGATCGTTTCTAAAAACTGCATTGTTTTATAACCTAGGCTTTGCATTTTTGACTGACTAATCAAAGGAGGAGGTTTTCAATTCGTCATTATATTTCTTTTTTTTTTGTTGTTGTTTGCGCATATCCCCGAGTGTTGTGAACCGATTTTGATAATTCTTTTTTTGTTAGAAAGAGTTTGTTACCGAGGTGATCCCATAATAATATGGTAAAGATCTGATGTATACTTTCGAGATAAACAATGGAACTACTCAAATACAAACAGTCGGTATTTTACGAAATATAAAAGAGAGAATGCAGGCAAAACATCTATATTTAGAAAGCTTATGTTGGTCTGACTTAAAAAAGTGAAAAATAAAAATCTTTTTTACTAAAACCGACTTCATAAAAATAAACCCACTAAAAATTAATTAATAATACATTTTCTTTACTAAGTCTAAAGTACCTTTAAAGTCAAATTGATAGTTGGTGTCGGTGCCTATTTCCTACCAATATTATTAATGTAGAAGTTCGTATGTTTGTTACTCAATCACGCAAAAAGCCGCTGAACGAATTTGAATGTTTATGACCTGGATTGAGGGACATGAGATACTTTCTATCCCGAAAATATGTCAGGTTCTTGAGGGATTAAAGTGCTCTCAGAATAAGGATTTTAGTTTATAGGTAGGTAAGTAAGTATTTTTAGTTTCGTTACTAATTCAGTTGATGTTTTCATTGAAAAAAAACCACGATAATTGTTTTAGAAAAAAAACCCTCTCTATCCAATCCTACTTCCTAGTTCCTCTCCTACCTTCTTACTAGTCCTACTAATATTATAAAGGCGAAAGTTGGTACGGCTGAACGGATTTGGATTAAATTTGGCTTGCATGTAGTGTATTACTTTTTATTTCCGTATCCTTCAACCACCGGGGGAGCGAGAAGAAGGTATGTGGGACTGCGTCTTCAGAAAAAAAATATTTGGTATCTTGAGTTTATTTTTATTCCTTGTATTAAAAGAATGTATGTCACTGTGTTTGAGATAAAAGATAATATTGCTTCTAACAAAAGGTATACAATTATAAATGAATTGTGAAGCAATACTCAAAAACCTGA